GAAGAACACTTTCACAAAAACCTAGAGAGTCAAGAGTCAAGGAGAGGAGAGTGATAACAGCAAAGGCTGCAAAAACTCAAAAAGGATAAGGGTTGAGAAAAGGACATTAGATTTGGCAATTAAGAATGTTAATAACTTTAAAGAGAGTAATTTCAGTTGAATGATGAGGTCAGGAGCTTATAGAAAGTTAAGAAGAGATTGAAAAGAAAGGAAATGGAGGTATTTAATATAAATGGCCTTCTCAAGGAAGGAAGATTGGTCGAGTGCCAGAAGGAAAACTTTAGCCAATCACTAACCAAAAAACAAAAGAGTCTCCATTATGCATCCCCCATCCCAAGCCTCAGTCACTCCTTGCTTTTTCACTTTAGTTCCCAGATTCCTAAGTGTTTCTTTCCTTTTCCTCAAAACCAGAGAATATTTTTATCCAGGTGAAATCTGGTTGATAATTAATCACTTTGCAAATGAACATGGAATCATGAAAGAGAGGAGAGATATGGGTCAAAAGTTAATGAGTTTAGATCTAAAAATTATCCAATCCAAACTGTCTCACATGGGAGAAAACAAAAGCCTAGAGAGATTAAGGTGTTCACGGTGATACTTACAAACAGAATGGTGGCAATCTAGTTTGCCAGCTATTCACAAGAAAAATATTTTTAGTGAATTGTAAAATCAATGACAGTGAAGGATACAATATAGCTTCCCAAAATGGAATGAAGACACTTAAGGGTTTGAAAGACTGGAAGTTAAGAAAGAATGGAAATCTAGTATTCAAAATAATAGAGGTGATAATCCCAACACTTCTGGAGTATTGTGTTCCATTGAGACCCTCAAATCTATGTCACCTAAGGATTTTTTGTTGTCAGTCATGTCCTAGCTTGTGACCCCATCTGGGACCTTCTTGGAAATAACAGTGATTTGCCATTTCCTTCTCCAGCTCATTTGACAGATGAGGAAACAGAGGAAAAAAACAGAGTTAAGTAACTTGCCCAGGGCGTTTATATAGAAGAGAAGAATTAATAGAGAATATACTGTCTTTCAATAGTTAAAAGATTATAATAACATGGGAGGGAGATTAAAATTATTTATCCTGGCCCCAGGGGGTGGAACAAGGAGAGAGAGGCAGATTTTAGCTCAATCTAAAGAATAATTTGACTGCCCAGAAGCTAGATGACCACTTATTGGCAATGTTGGAGAGAGGATTCATATGTCAAAAATGGGTTGGACTCAATAATCGTGGAGGTCTAGTCAAGTCAAGCACAGAAAGTCTGCATAGGAGAGTCATGCGAGATAGCTAAAGAGATCATTAAAGGTCAATCAATCAATATTTATGAAGGCCCTACTATGTGTCATGGACTGTGTTAAGCACTGAGATATAAAAGGAAGCAAAAAAAAAACCAAACTAGTTCCTGCCCTTAAGGAGCTTACAATCTAATGGTAGAGATAACATGCAAATTATACAAAGCAAGCTATGAACAGGATAAATAGGAAATAACTGAAGAGGGAAGGTACTGGAATTGAAAGGGGTTAGGGAAGGCTTTCAGTAAAAGATAGGATTTTAGTTGGGACTCAAAGGAAAACTGGGAGGTCAGAAGTCAGAATGGAAGAGGAAGATCATTCCAGGCATGGAGGATAGCCCAAGAGAATGCCCAGCACCCAAAGATAGGGTGTCTTCTTCATGGCACAGCTTATGAAGGGTCATAATTGACAGACTGATCAGGTCCAGATAGTATCATCTGTCGTGTGGAGGCAGAACGATTAAACATGCATGGAACGTTTTTCCTAGTGGCCATCTCAACTAGTTACGGCTCCTCCATCCATCCAGTCCTTCTCTCCTACCAAAGCTCATAGAATCCAGAACTGAAAGGAGCCTCTGACACTGGCTCATATATTCACTCAGTTGTGTGACCCTAGGCAAGTCACTTAACCTCTCAGCCTCAGTTTCCCCATATGTAAAATGGGGATAATATTAACTCCTATGTCACAGGGTTGTTGTGTGAATCAAATATGATAATATTTGTAAAGTGTTTTGAAACCTTAAGGTGCTTTATGATTGCCAACTGTTATTATTATTGTCTTTGTCATCTTATCACATAGGAGAGGCAGCAAGTGTAGTAAAAGGAATACCCCATATCAAGTGGAGACAGGGAATTGGTGTCTAGGTTCTGGCACTTACTATTCCCTCAGTCTCAGTTCCCTCCACTATAAAAGAGGAAACTAATAATAATGATACTACCCCAATATCAGGGAACATTTTGTCCAGGTGAAATCTGATTAATAATTAGTTCACTTTGCAAATGAACATGGAAGGGCTTTTTTGGCAAAGATACTTCAGTGGTTTGCCATTGCCTTCGCTGACTCATTTTACAAATAAAGAAACTGAGACTTGCTCAGTGTCACACAGCTACTAAGTGTCTGAGGCCAGATTTGAACTCAGGAAGATGAGTCTTCTTGATTCCAGGCCCAGCACTCTATCCACTGTGCCATCTGAGTTGCTATGAGCAGACTGTAAATTCAAGAGCCCCAGGTCATTTTAACATCAGCTGCTAAAGTTACTCCTTTGAATCTATTCCCTAGGCTAATGGTACAATATCCCCAAATTCTCGGTCAAATAATGTTGCCTGAATTATAGAAGAACTCTAGACTTGGAGTCAGGGAAGCTGGGTTTAAATCCCACCTCTCGAATTTCCTTCCCCTTTCCCTCTTTTCCTTGTAATAAAACAGCTTATTCATTGTGACCCTTGGCAAGTCATCTGATCTCCTTGTGCCTCAGTTTCCTCAGCTACAAAATAGGTGGAGTTGGAATCAATGGCATTAGATGAAATTCCATTTAGCCTCTAAATCTGTAATCTTACAAAGATAAAATCTCTGACAAAAACATTTTTTCCATCCTAGAGGAGGAGCATCTTATTTCCATTATAAAAGGGTCCCAGCTGTATTTTTAAGTAAATAAAATTAATTAGGAATAATTATGTTTTGAGAAATTAGAGGGGACTGTGGGAATCTCTATATTTCTTGAGATAATTACTCACTTTGTACTTCAATACTTAAAGTATCTTTTTTTTTCATCAGTTTGACTATTATCTCCCCAGATGCATATTGCCACTCCTTTTTGTCTCAATGGGTGGCCAAAAATACTCATCACTGATGTTGAGTCTTTTTGACTTTAGCTAGCTAGGGCCATCTTCTGATGGCAGACATACATCACTGGGCCCCTGCTCAAAGCCTGTCCAACTTGAACTTCACTGGCATATTCCTTAAGAATTCAGGAGCACCAACACACAATGATGAGGCATTGGGGGAGAATTTTATCAAAGAAGTGTCTAGGAAAACAAGGATTGGGCACCAATAATTTAGGAAGAAAAGTTCAAGCAAGGCCTCCACCAGAGGCAGAAGGCAAAAATATTCTTTCGAGAAGTTCTTCAATGTGTTAACTGTACTGACGACTGCTGATAAAAAAAAAAAATTTTTTTTTTCACTTAATGAAAGTGCCTATTAATAAGATGTGGTTCCTGACCCCAAGATAGGGAAATAGAAAGAGAGGCAGAGACAGAGAGAGAGCTTGCTGTGTGCCAGGCACTGTGCCAAACTCTGAAGATACATATGGACAATATAAGCAAGATAGCCTCTACCCTCAAGGACCTCACATTTTAACAGAAAAGGTGATACATACATGGAAGCTGGAAGTGGGGGGAAGAGGGGAAGATGATGCCATGATTTCTGCATGACTAGGAAATAGGGTTGAGGATTAGTATTGGACAAGATGAGGTAAAAGCTCACCTCTCAAAGCCAAAGGTGGTTCCAGCAGAAGGGTCCGAGTTTCAGGTTGGAAAGGGGGATTAAGACATGACCTACATGTTCAATGTGAGTCATCAGAGTCACATGTGAGCCAAAGAAGCTAATTCAGCATACTCCAAAAGTCATAGTGTCATTTTAAGATTAAAACAGGAGTAAGGCTTTTGGGATGCCTTGTATATACTCTTGAGCTTTATGAGAAAGGCATAGTGTTCAGCAAATGGAAGGTAATAGTCCCAATGACCCATGCTTTACATTGGTCAAAACACAAATTCGTGGTGCTGTATTCAGCTCTGGGTAACACATTTCGTACAGGACATACACAAGCTGGAAAGCTTCCACAGGGTGGAAAACAGATGGCAAGGGACCTCAAAACCAGGCCATACAAGGTTAAGTCGAAGGATCTGAAGAGGTTTAACCTGGAGAAAAGAGGTGGAACATAACGTTGCTGTAGTTCAGTCATTTCAGTCGTGTCTGACTCTTTATGACCCCATCTTGGGGGTTTCATGGCAAAGATACTGGAGGGGTTTGTCATTTCCTTCTCCAACTACTTGAAGACATCATGTCAAAGGGGTAATCACCTTCTATTTAGTCCCAGAGGGGAGAACTATGACCACTGGGTTGAGTTACAGAAAAGAAAATTGAGGTTTCTTTTGCAGGGGGATGCAGGGAGAGAAGGGAATAGAATGAACTGCCTTGGGCTGAGACAGACTGGCCCTTATTAGAGATCTTCAGCTAAAGGCTAAATGAACATTTGTCAGACATATTGTAAAGGAAGTTCCTGTACAGTTTGGTCTAGGTGGTCTCTGAGGGTCCTTTATGAAACTCTGAGGTTCTGTGAAATATATATATATTTTATGTGTATATGCATATTTACATATACAGATATATGCGTATGTATATATACATACACACATACATTTATATATACATGCATGTGGATATACATGTAAATACATATGCAAGTGATATAAATGTACATACATGTATAAGCACATGTACACATGTATATGCAGAGAGAGAGAGAGAGAGAGAGAGAGAGAAGAAATAACCAAAAGTGGATCAAAATGGATGGATGGAGAGAGAGAGAGAGAGAGAAGAAACCAAAAATGATCAAAAAATGGATACACAAACACCCCCCACAAACTTTTACAGGCTTTGATGTAGCACTGTTGTCTAATCTCTTTTTTTCTCTGCTTTTCTTTCAGGGACGGTGCATCAATTTCACTCGAGTAAAGAACCAGCCTCCCGCCAAGTATCCACTCAACAACGCCTATCGCCCCCCTTCTATGCCTCCTGCCCCCATTTATACTCCCCCACCACCTGCTCCCCTCTCAACTCCCCCACCCCCTACCTCCCCCACACCCCCAACACCAAACCCACCTTCCACACTTCCCCCGCCCCCTCACGCCCCACCCCCCAACCGAGTGCCACCACCCTCTCGCCCCCCACCTCGGCCTTCTGTCTAAAATCCAGACTCTCTCAGATGCCTTGGGGAAGAAGTCCCTCTACAGTATTATAGCATACACCTTTCAAGTCCAAGAGGGCTTTTGTTTTCAGAAATGGGCGGCAATCAAAGATGTCACACACACCTTTTTTAAAATTTAGAAGCAATAATAAACTGACAACTTCAGGGTCAGCCAAAAGAAAAAGAGAAATTTTAAAGTGTCTTTTAAAAAGCAAGCTGGCAGGGTGACAATATAAGGAAAGTTGTCTAATCTCCACCTCTGGAAGGAGGTCATTATGAGGTTCCCCCTGGGGTCAGATGAGAACCAGCATGATGTTCTAATTATTAGGATGTAATCCTATAATTCACGGACCCACAATTCACTGTATTTCAATGGCCTAAATGGGAATATGTCCCACGGAGACTCACAAGGAAGTCATTTCCTTGTAGTTGAAATGCAAAGTGTGATTAGAAACCATATTCCTGGAATTCTCAATGCCTTCTCCCCAACTGTACTGCACCCCATGCCCACTCTAGCCTTGACCTTGAGTCTTCAGGAATTAAATAGTCTTTTGACTCTTGCAGAGTTATAACACATCTTTTCAATCAAAGGAGGGTTTCGTTTTTTTGTTTTGTTTTAAATTGATTTCTAGCAAGAATTGGTCAGTCAGCATAGAAGAGTTTGAAACTCCATTGGTGGGCGTCTGAGAAGAGTACCCTCAAAGAGGCATCTGCCTGGGGGTTATGGAGACCAAAAAATATCTCTCCCGCCCAGACCATAACAGTCACAATGAAGTGGAAGCAGGTGTTTGTTGAAGGATTTGGGTATGTTGCTTTGTAGAAGCGGAAATAAAGTGTCGTTCAGAGAAGAATCAGCACGTGTATGAAAAGGGAACCAGTTGTTTCACAAACAGAATGAATCCTAGAATGTTAGAGCTGAAATGAGACCAAACTCTTCATTTTACAGATGAGGAAACTGAGGCTCACAAAGGTTCAGTGACTTGTCCAAGTCACGTAGTTACTAAGTAGAGGTAATATGCCAAGAGTCAAACCCGAGTTCTCTGATAAATCCAGTGCTTTTTCCATTACAGATGGACTTGTACACAGCCAAGTTAAAACTCAGGAAGGGGGCTAGGCACTTGAGCCCCACTGAGAAAATTCTTCTCAAAACCTGTGGCTCACGAGGACTTAGAAATACTCCAGCCTTCAATTAGACAGCTCCTCTTTCTTAGCACCATATGCCCTAGTCGTTCAACAACTTCCATTCAGGTTAGCTAGGCTTTCAGAGATGTGTGGCATGAAGAAATAATCCATTTGGGATTTGTTCCCACCAAATTGATAAGCATCTTCCCAAAATGTAATCATTAGTAATGGTTCCCATGACACCATCGATTTTTTTTCAAGTCATTTCAGAGCTGGGATTTTAACTGAACTTTCAATTTCTAAATGGTTACAGGGTAGGTTTGGGGGAAGTGGAGGGGCAGGACAGAAGAGGAGGTATGGGGGAGTTTTGCTGTTGATATAGGAGGATCATTCCCAAGTCCTTTGAGTAATATGAATAATATGAGAGTGTTTATGTATATATTTCTTCTCTAGTGTCCAAGATAATCACGTCCATCCATTATCATCTGTTAGCCAAGGTGAGGTCAGGCCAGATGTGCAAAATAGAAGTAGGTCAGCAAGGAATTCACTGGCTGCAATTTCATAAGCAGGCCCTGGGCCCACCCAGCTCTACGGCCTAACCTAAAAAGGGCTATAAGTTAACTTTCTGAACATCTGCCTTCAGTGATATTCTCTACCCTACCCCATTTTCCTTCTCTTTTCCTCCAGGCTGAGCAGAGAGTTAAAATAAGTGGCCACTTACACAATATAATGTGAGGAGGACCTATCTCTTCAAAATAACTCTAACCCCAAATAGTCTACTACAATATCTGAAATTCCTACCATTCACTGTTTTTGTTTCCATGACATATATTACCTGGGAAGAATTTCACATTAAAACGCAAGAATCTACTTTGACTTAGATCAGCTAAGAATTCATGATATCACTGGGGAACATGGAATTTGTAACCCAGCAATCCACCTGTCTCAGATATAGTAATTGAGTCCTAAGGAACCGCCCAAAGCACATAAAGATTAAGTGACTTGCCAAGGGTCATATGGTTACTAAGTCAGAATTTCATATAGCTACTAAGTCAGGGAGTTGGACCTAGGTTTTTCTGATTCTATGCCCAGTATACATTCCAATATATTGCTTTTGCTATTTGGATTATTATGTCAAATTATACTCACAGACCTAAAAGGTCATCTTACCCTCATGTTTTACAAAAGTAAATTACCATCTCAGTTTTGCCTAGAGCTGACCCTGCCTCTTTGAGAATCATAGAATGTCAATGATAAAAGGACCTCAGAACAGAAAATAATGTCAGAACTAGAAGGAAATTTGGAACCTAGAATGTCAGAAGTGAAAAGAACCTTAGAGATGATTTAGTCCAAACCCCTACATGATTGAAAACTGAAGCCTAGAAAGAAGCCATGACGTATCTAAAGAGGAAGCCAGAGCCAAAATCCAGAGCCCTTCACTCCTAGCCCAGGGCTCTTGCTACAGCACCATGTTGCCTTCTTCCCTTCCAGGAATCTTTCAGGATTTCCTTTACCACGAAAGACATGAGCGTTTGATAACTTCTGGCAGATTGTTTTCCCCTTTCCCATTTCCAGAGCGAACTTCACCTTCTGCTTTTTATGAACATTATTTTGGAAGCAGGGCCAGACAGTTCCTCTGTTAGCCACAGTGATATCATTGAACACTGGATCCCAGACACCAGCTGTCAAATTTTATAGGAAAGGAAACCTCTCTTGGTCTCCCAAGCCCTTGAGGTTGGAGATAATCAGACCCATCCAACTGTTTTGTCTGCTGGCAGCACAGAACAGTATTTTTCCCAGCCCTCAAGTGGTAGTGGTCCCTGCAACAGCAGCAGCAAACACTCCTCTTGTCCTTCAATGTCCTGCCTAGTAACGCCCTTCTAGTGGTGGGGCTCAAGATCTCATGACTGGGGCTAAATGTACTTCCTCAAAAGTTTCCCCTGAGCTGTGGTAGCCATGTCCCAAAGCACACAGTATTTGTACTGGGGGAATGTGGAATAATCTCATGAAGGATTGACAGTGTTTGTTCTTCAAATGTAAAATTAAAAAAAAAAAAGCTTTGTGAAAACGACCCTCTTCCAAAAAAAAAAAATCAGTCATCAAATGATGTAGCAATGACGTCGCATGATGTCTCCAGTTATTTGGAATGGCTGGGGGTGGGGAATGGAAATTTATATACACTGTAGTGATTGAGTCTGTATTTTGTTAACAAGCTATTGAACAGAAAACAGTCTTTCATCAGCCATTTTGTAAAACCCATCAGGACATATTAGAGTCAGCCTCTCTATATGAAAGAAGCTGAGGACATACAATTAGGATCAGAAAAATATACAAAATGATTTTTTCAAAGCCCATGTTGGAGTCCAGTTCCAAACTCATGTTGTATATATTCTTAATGCATGCTTACCATATGTTAGATGGAAGCATTTCCTATCCAATGTGGATAAAGAGAACAGTTGTAGTAAATTATTATAAAGTCGGTGATATTTCACGGCAGGTACCAAGCTGTGCTTGTTTGTTGTCTCATGATTGTATTGCCTTTTTTTTTATATAAATGTACAAATATCACTAAAGGGACGAGAACCTATTTTGCATAACATTAATTGGGATGGCTCATCCCAATCTGCCTTCTACAAGTCAAGATAGCTTGTGTATAGCCTGGGACTTAGGGATATCAATGTGTGCCACATTTACATACCAGCTTTATGACCTATTAAGTCATGATGGTGTGAACAGCTAAATAGTAAACCTAGAAGGTATTCTGGCCAGAATTCACTACATTAGAAATCTTCCCAGAATAAACATGAGTGATCTCCTATGCACAAGATAGGAAAACATAAACATGCAGCACTTAGCACAGTGCCTGGCACATAGTAAGTGCTTAATAAATGTTTGTTGAAGAATTATTGATCAATTGACATACTAACACTGCAGATTAAATAAAAAATTAATGTCATGTAAATCAGGTTGAATCAGTTCATGTACTATATATAGAGATATATCCAATAAAATCCCATTTATCCAGACTGGTTGGGGAAGAGGTATTCTGATTAATTGAACATTCTAGTTAAACTGAATGTTACTGTATATACCATACATGCATTAGCAATTTTCAAAGAATTAGACTATTATAAAGTACACTTAACACTAACTATGTTGAACATATTGCATCCTTCTTTGGTTACTCACATGGAATTTCAGAAACTTTCAGTGCCTCAAGTTCATTGTTATCAACATCCATTATCATTGTACAATACTGTAGGTGTAGAAGATATGGGATATTGGGTAGAATCTGTACCATGACATACTCTAGAAGTTGCTTTTTAAAAATAAATTCCAAACGCCATTCTGTTTGTCATTTGTCTCTTTTTCACAGAGTACAGACTATGCTGATGGATGAAGTCCAGAGAGTCATGGAGAGGCTGCCTTTCTAAAAATGTAATCACTTTAGCAAAGGCTAAAGCAGCCTTCTTCCAAATTGTCCTGTCTCCTTCACTAAAATGTTTCACTGTTTCATTACTGCAATATGCAAAATCTTTACAATTATTTCTGCATTTGACACGTCGACTTCCTTATCAACATCAATACCATCTTCCCAGTGAATCTTTCCCTGACACACATACCCAGGAGAAAGTGATATTATCCTCCTGAAATTTTCCATAGCACTTTGTCTAGAGCTCTTCTTTGCACTATCCCACTCCTTTATGTATCATAGTTATTTGAATACATATCTTCACTGCCCCCAGGCAGCTGATGGTGCAGTGAGCACTAGGCCTGGAGTCAGAAGGACCTGAGTTCAAATCCAGTCTCAGATATTTACTAGCCGTGTGCCCCTGGGCAAGTTGCTTAACCCTGTTAGCCTCAGTTTCCTCATCTATCAAATGAGCTGGAGAAGGAAATGGCAAACCACTCCAGTGTCTTTGCCAAGAAAACCCTAAATGGGGTATCAAAGAGTCAGATATGATGGGACAACAAACTTTCCTGCCTTCCCCCTTTCAGATTGTGAGCTCCTTAGGAGCAAGGCCTGTTTTCATCTATCTTTGTATTCCTAGCACTGAGCACAGTGCCTTGTACATAGTAGGCACTTAATAAATGTCTGTTGGATGTGTCGTTGAATTAAATTTATTTGCAGGGAAGAAAAGGTATCTTCATTTCGAGACTTTGCACCAATCCATTTTAACAAGCTCTGCAAGATCATCTTGGTCAAAAGAAAATGTGCCACAAATGTAAAATTGGGCCAAGGCAGTTTCCAAATTCTCATTAACGCCTCACTTATCATAGAAGTCAAGGCATGACATTAGTATTTGCAATGGAGAAACAATAGAAGGAGGAAAGTAAAGATGTCCTTCTGCTTACTATCATGTCACATTGTTCTAGAAATGCTAGTGCTAACAATTAGGCAAGAAAAAGAAAGTAGAGGTAAAAATAATGGTGACACAATGTTCCCTATTTTCAGATTATATAATGGTTTACCTTATTTAAAAAAACCTTGGAATGAACAAAGAAATGAATTATAATAGTTTCAGTAAAGAAGCAGAATATAAAATAAATCAACAAAAATTGTCACCACTTCTCTGTGGCAATAATAAAAGCCAGAAGGAAATACTAAAAAGATAAATCATAATCAAAATAATTCATAAACTCATGGAGTCAATCTCCAGGACATGAAAATACAATTATGAACACTCTTTAAAGAAATGATGACAATTGGAGGGACATTCATTGCCCAAGATCGCATTACACTAACACAATAAAAAATTTTTTTTGATACTATCTTAATCAGTTTACAAATTTAGTACCATGCCAATCAAACTACCAATGGAATATTTTAAAGAGCTAGAGAAAACAAAAATAAAATCCACTGAGAGGAATTAAAGGTTGAGTATTTAAAGTGAAATAATACAAGAAAAAAGTAAGAATGAAAGAATAATTTATGAAGACCTAAAATCATGTTATAAAGTAATACTCATCAAAAATTACTTGATACTATTTAAATAATAATAAGTAGAACAGACTAGATTAACAAGAATCATAAATATTTAAATTTAGTGTTATTTCCTAGACTTCAACAAATCCAAGAACATAATTTACTTGGATAAGAAATCCCCCTGTTTTCAAAGAACTAAAAAGAAAATTAGATAATAATTAGGTAGAAATTAGGTTTAGATCAACATGTTACATCATATGCCATAATAAATTAAAAATTAATATACTTGCCAAATCAAAAGGTTACACAATTAAAAGCAGTTAGAAGAAAATAAGACCAGGGACCTTTCACAAACATGGGTAGGAGTGGCAGAGGAGACTACAAAAAACATAATAAATAGTTTTGACGTAATAGTTAGGTGCTAGATTTCCAAATTCTGGCACTAATCATAAGATTGGGACCTGTCCTGTAGTGGAAAAGCTGAGATAGAATCATCAGGTGGTTTACTTCCTGACCAGCAAGAATCCATCTGCAGAGTTCATATCTCCTTGGCAAACCCTAAGGGTTGCTACATGTTATATAAGTATAAATTGTTATCATCATCATTTGGTCCAGAGGGGAGTAGGGAGAGATGTTCAATGAGACTAATCTGATATTTTGATATGGCCACAACAAATTTAGTTTGGAATTGTGTTTACCTAGGAAATCAAGTTTAGAACGAAAGAACAATGTGATGATCAGACTTGCCAAAAGATCCTTAAGAGTATAGGTGTGCAAAGAACATGGGCCAGGCGTGCCAGACACACATTCTATGAATGCCTATGATAATTGCAGAAAGTGCCAAACTCTAAAACAAAGTGAGAGATGGAAAAAAAAAACTGGGGGAGATCATTGTGTCCTGCTGGGGGCATTGAAGGGTTGGATAGACTTCCTTAAGCTAACTAATCTGGGAAGGAATAAGTGGGGAGTGATGTTATGGAAGTCCCTGCTTTAGTCCCCGTTTCCTATATGTCATAGGAAGGGCTAAAGAAGCAAATTCCAGAAGATGTAATCAGCAGTTCTGAACAGCCAGTTCCTTAGTCATAGAATTAGAACTAAGTTTATATTGAGGATATACTGAGAATTTAATGGTGGGAAGGTGGGAAAGGGAGTGTTAGGTATCTTGAAGATGGGAGAGGACTTGGACAGGCTGGATGGAGTTCAGAATAGAATGATCAGGATGGTGGAGGATACACCATATATGCGTAACCCACGGCTCAACCTCCTTCCACTCAAGACTTTGGGCTCAGATACACTGGTTTCAGACCTGGAAGTCTGACTCCAAGGTCATGATTTCTCTTTGGTTCATCGTTCCCACCTGGAATTATTTTGGGAAAATCTCCAAATATGCTTATGTTATATCTCAAATCTGGGTTTCTCCAAATATAGACAAAAGGAGGCCCCCCACTTCCATACTGGCAATCAAGGCAGCCCATGAAAATTGGGTGTACGATAGTCTTTATTTTATAGAAAATGAAGAAGACACAAAGGAATCACAGAAACTCATAAACAGATTCAGAGCATATAAATTACACAGAGTCCACTGGCTCTTGAAGAGAACTGAACTCAGGGTTGCTATCAAGACAACCTTGGACATTCTAGTGAGTCCCCCTTTCCCACAGTGTCCTACATAGTTTCCCCACCACCACACCCAAGACTCATAGCACCACCCTGAACAAACAAACCACTGCCTAGTAGGCCTGCAATCAACTTAAGAGTAATTCACTGGGTTTTGCCCTCCACAAAGGATGCTGCAAAGGAATTGTGGATAACCCTGTTCTTTCTCCAAGGAACATGCTGCTTAAGGAAGTCCCCAATTATCTCTAGAAGGTCCAATCCTTGAACTCTTGAGCACAGACATTCTCAAGCTAGAGCTTTGCTGCAGGCATTGGCCAGAAAACCTAGGGCATTGTGCTGCCAAGAAAATTCAAAAATCCCAATCCTCTCCAAAGGAGAATATAGTTCAGAAAAATTGTCCACAAACTATACTCTCAGGGCATGTGTAACCTCGAGTTATCTCTCATGTTGTTCTCCAATTTACCATCAGTTGCTCCTGGGGAAGGAGGTTGTGGTTGGTCACAGGTTCCCATGCCCCAAAACTGCAGATCAGTTCAGCTGTGCAAGGGTGGAGAAAGACAAATAGACAGGGAGAAAGAGACAGACAGCAGGAAAGAGAGACGGAGACAGAGGGAAACAGAAAGAGACAGAGATACCAAGAAGTAGAGAGGCAGAGACAGAAATAGAGACAGACAGATGGACAGACAGAGAGCCAGTGCTGGTCTATTGAGTCACTTTTGTAGACTAGGTTGAGGGGTGGCTCCTTGGACAAAAACCTAGCCTCCTGAAAGCCAGCTAGTAAGTCTTCTTGGAAGCAGGTCAAGTCATAAGAATTGTCTGTTCTTTCAATAAAATGCCAGTAAGCAAATCTGCTTCCATAGGGAAAAACTCCTAACATTGACCAGGGATTTCTCTAGTTGATCCCTTTTATACACTGATGTTTAACCAGGAGAAAAGAAGATCTAACAATTAGAGTTACCCAGAAATGGAGGGGTCAATTCAGAGTCAATATTGAAATGAAATGAGACCTTCATGGATTATCCAACAGTAAAAATAAAGAGGTTTACTTAGTTATAGCATAGAAAGGACACTCAAGAGAAATATAGAATTTGACTCAGGTAGACTCAGCAGCTAGGTGGCGTAGTGAATAGAGAGCCAAGAAAGAAGTCAGGAAACCCTGAGTTCAAATCCAGCCTCAGACACTAGCTGTGTGACCCTAGGCAAGTCATTTAACCCTATCTGCCTCTGGTTCCCCATCAGTAAAATGAGTTGGGGAAGGAAATGGCAAACTACAGTATCTTTGCCTAGAAAACCCCAAATAGAGTCACAAAGAGTCAGACATGACTGAAATGATTGCTTACTTCAGTTTCCCCATCTGTAAAATGAGCTGGAGAAGGAAATGGCAAACCACTGCAGTATCTTTGCCAAGAAAACCCCAAGTGGGGTCACGAAGAGTTGGATACAACTGAAAAATGACTCAAGTACTCAGCCCATCTCATCTCCATTAGGAAACTCCTTTGGTTCCCAAGACATCATCAAGTCTGAAGTGTACAAATCCATATAAACTGTTTTTTTTTTCATGCAACCACAAAGTCCTCTCAACGTCCACAGGGCTGGAGACTTAGTCTCCTGGGCCAATAAAGTTTAGGGAAAACTTACCTGCCTTTTAGAGAAAAAAAATTAAAGTCTACTTGGAGGGAGGGGGAATTGAACTCTGATAGTAATAATTTTTGTGTGGTTGTATATTTTTTTTTATAAATTTATTTATTTTAGTTTTCAACATTCACTTCTATAAGATTTTGAGTTCCAAATTTTCTCCCCAA